CTGCTACTACTGCTACTCCTGCTACTGCTACTACTGCTGCTACTACTGCTGCTACTACTGCTACTGCTACTACTGCTGCTACTGCTGCTACTACTACGTTTGGCGTGGCGGCGCTGCACCCGTCGGCGGCTACTGGCGAAGGAAGCAGCGGCGGCGCTGGAGGCTTGGCGACGCTGGGCGGCGGCGCTGGAGGCTTGGCGACGCTGGGCGGTGACTGCTCCAATTGGACGGCGACGACCGGCGGCTGGCTCACGGCGGCGATGCTGGCTGGGTTAGACGAAGAAGAAAGAAGAAGAAGGAGAAGAAAGAAGAAGGACGAAGAAGAATCGAAGAAGGAGAACGGGAAGAAGAAGAACGAATGAAGATAAGATAAGGATTGTGTGGCTGAGGTTTAGGTTTATTTAATGGTCCCATTCCAAAAAGGATTGGGCTTCGGACCCAAAATACCTGATTAAATGGTCATAACATGAGCTCCATAACTCCGATTCGCGAGCCGTCTGAACCGACGCAATCACAAAAATATTTCCTACGAGATGACATAAAAGTTGGGCTTAAAATCCAAATTATAATTTTAACCCCTTTTTGGGCCCAATTCGTAATCAATTGCTCTAACAATTTAATTAATTCTTTGGGCGTTACATTTTTTTTAATTTTATTTCGTGACAATGTGTGTGCATGCTTAAATGATTTCAAAAGTACAAACTTTCTCCGTGGGATCGACCCTTACTTGCCCTAGCTATAGTTTTTATTTGATTATATTTTGGGGGTTAGTTAAGGATATTTTATAAATTTTTAATTTGTTTTGGACCACACGACAAATCCCCAACAAATTTTGGCGCCGTTGCCGGGGAAAGTTTTGGACCACTAGCTCATAACTTCATACAATATCATGCACACAAGTACAACATTTATAACATCAACAATATCAATAATTCACGCAACATGTTACTCACCTCAATTCTTCAGCTGCATAAATTATAAATTCAACATTCAAGTTCTTACAATAGCTCATATCAAATACTAGCTCATAACCTATTCTAGGCTAAGGCCAATTCCTCATTATTTACATTCTTATCTTAGGACTTAGAGCCACTACCTACGGCCATGACTCAAAGTCTATTCTATGACATCAGAACCACTACCTACGACCATGATTCTGGTCAACCCGGTACCTACGGCATCGGTTGGGTGGAACCTCCAATCCTACGGATCAGATCTCAGATTCCATGTACGTACATCTTTACCCGAATGCCACTGAACTAAGTCCACAAGGCTCTACATCTATTGTCATCTCACAAATCTCAATTCTCACAAAGTAGTCCTAGATTTCTTCTAGGTAACTTACGTCATTAACCTACTTGTTAGGCTCAACTTCAAGGGGGAAATGGAGGAGAGGGTAAGGGCCGAGTAAGAAGGGTGAGAGAGGGGATATTTAGGGGATTTTGTGAAGGGATGTTTGAGAGGGAGAAGGCTGTTTTATGGGATGCTTTGGGTTGGGACGTGTGGGAAAGGAGAAGGGGGAGTTTTAAGGTGATTTTGGTTAAGGGAGGAGAAGGGAAAGTGAAAATGGGAAGGGTATTTGAGGGGGTGGCCGAATTAGAGTAGAGAGGAGGAAATATATTTAGTTGTTTTTCTTTAAGGAAGATAAAACAAGTAGGTGTTAAGAGATATTACACACTCTTATCTTTTACTTGGGGTTGAATCTAGTATTCGAATAAGATATTACACACTTATTTAAATAACTAGAACCTATAACTCACACCTAAGAGAACCACTCTTAAGATATAGAAATAGGAATTTAAAATAGAACACACACAAGTGTATTACTACTGAAATGGGAAATACAATCTGATGAAATACAAGGCCTATGGCCGAATTTATACATACACACACAAGGGAGACTACCAAGTCTCTTATTCACACAAATCAAAGAGGAATAATCGCCACTTATTGATGCCCTTTTGTTGGGGAACAAAACAGAAAAGGGTGTACTTGTGGGGTTGGGTTTTTCGGACATAAGTGGGGAGAAATATATGTGAAAGTATCCCACTTATTTGGTTGGTTTTTGGGTAGAGATTACTTGGTCAGGAAGGGGGTTTGAATGAGGGGAATGGTTGGCTATTTTGGAGGCTTTTTATGAGAGGTATATGGGGGATACATAGGCTGGTTGATTGGTGGGGATTGTGGACCCTTGTGTTTTGGATTATAGTTATTGTTTGGCCTGACTAGTTGGGGAGCACAATGGGGAACAAGAATGGGCTATGACATGGGGTTTTTGGCTGGTTATTTTCGGCCATAACATGGGGAAAAAGGAGTGGTTGCTTAGGCTATGATTTGAGGTGGTTTTGGCCTTGGCAAATGTGGGGTTTAAGGGTGTGGTGGTATGGTGGTTTTGAAGTGGATTTTCGGCCAGGGGAGGTGAAAGGGAAAAGGGAAAAAGGGCAATGTGGTTTAAGTGTTCATTTGGATGTTTTGGGGTTTTGGGTTTTACCATGATGGTTCGGCCCTAGGGTGGTGTTGGGTGCAAGGATATTATGGCTATGTTGTGTGGTTTGTTAATGATAAATTCAGCCCAAAAGGTATCATAACACTTAGCCATTATTCCATTGATTTGTTTAACATCTTTAGAATCCTTGGTAGTAACCCGGGGTATATCATCCTCCCCTTCTTCAGAAGAGTTTGTCCTCAAACTCGGAATTTCTTCAAGCTCGAAGTACAGGCTGATATCCTTGATGTTGAATGTAGCCGACACTCCATAGTCACCCGGGATGTTGATCTTGTAGGCATTTTCATTCACCTTCTCTAAGATCTCGAATGGACCATGTGCTCTTGGTAACAGTTTTAACTTGCGTTTAGTTGGAAAACGCTCTTTTCGGAGATGGATCCAAACAAGGTCGCCGGGTTGGAAGTTTGTATCCGTCCTTCCTTGGTTGATGCGTGCACTTAGTTTCTCATTCATGGCTTCGATCCTGTCCCGCACCTTGTTGTGAAGGTCCTGAATCTCCTTCGATCTTTTATCCGCTTCCCAACTATATTTGGTGCCTGTCACGATAGGATTAAGCTCAAGTGGGGACAAAGGGTTCGAACCATAGACAATCATAAAAGGGGATAATTTGGTGGTTTTGTTCGGGGTTCGGTTGTAGGCAAATTCAGCATGTGGTAGTAACTCTTCCCATTGTTTGATGCTCTTCTTGATAAGGGCTCGGAGGAGGGTTCCAAGAGTTCGGTTGGTGACTTCGGTCTGTCCATCGGTTTGGGGGTGGCTCGAAGTACTAAACTTGAGTTTAGTACCCAATTTTCTCCACAAAGTCATCCAAAAATGACTTAGAAATTTCATGTCCCTGTCCGAGACCATGCTTTGGGGAACGCCATGTAATTTAACT